AAAATTCATTATAAAGAATCTCTGTTTAGCTCTTGATAGAAGTTTTTCTTTTGATTTCTAGTAGGTGGCTTACAAACCTCTTGGATCTTTGCTTTGAGGCTAAAAATGCTTTTTTTTCTTTGACATACTGTATATTTGATCTTTGATCAGGTTCTCTCAGTCCAAGTGCCTGTCTGTGGTATACTGGCTGTGGTTTCAGTATTGGTTGCTCAAATTCCTCTGGTGCTCCGTGGTGCTAGGTCTGGGATGATACGGGATGAGGGGAGGGCACGCTCTGGATTGGTGACAGGGGTTGCTGCCAAGGGTTGCTGCCAAACTCTGTGTCTCAGCCTCCCACTTGGCAACAGTGGCTGCTAAGACACAGCTGTTGCCCCTCTGCCCTTAGTTCCTCCACCACATTATGCCCTGACCCCTGAGCTCCACTGCATGGAACATGCTGATCCCTCAGACAGGGCCGTTCCAGGAACCGACCACAAGTTTTTCTCTCTCCCTCCTTTTGCAGGGAGCTCCAGATGCATATGGCAGCTCCTTTGTTTCTCCCAGTCTACCCTCCACAATTGCATGGTTCCGACCTTTGAAGCTCTGATGTGCAGATCTCTCAGATATGCTTGTGTACAGATTGGGTGTTAGTTGTTGAGTTTTAGATGTTCAGCTCATTATTTCAAGGGGAGAGATCCAGGGAGATCCCTCACTCCACTATGCTTCTGACGTAACTCTATCATCTTAGAAAACTCCCATCATTCCCGAAAATTTACTTGACCCTTTGTAGCAACCCCACCCCACCACCTGAAACCTCTTTTCTGATTTTTATTGCCATAGACACATTTTGCCTGCTCTTTTTTATGTAACAGTTTTATGGTGTGTAATTCACATACCATAAAATTTACCCATTTAAAATATACAATTCACTGGTTTTTCATATATTCACAGAGTTGTGCAACAATCAGCACAACCAATTTTAGAATATTTTCATCACCCCTAAAAAAACTGCATGTCTGTTAGCATTCACTGCCCATCCATCCTTAATCCCTTCACTCCCACTTCAGTCCTCAGCAACACCTAATCTGTTTTTTGTATTCTAAATCATGTAAATAGAATCATATATTTCCTTTTGTAACTGGCATCTTTTACTTAGCATTATGTTTTTAAAGTTCATCCATGTTGTAGCATATATAAGTATTTAATTTCTTTTCATGGCCGAATAATATTCTACTCTGTGGATATACCAGAAGTTTTTTTAATCCATTCAGTAGTTGATGGATGTTTAGGTATTTTCCAATCTTTGGCTATTATGAATAATGCTGCAGTGAAAATTTGTTGTATAAGTTTTATATGGACATAGATTTTCATTTCTCTTGGATATATACTTAAGAATGGAATTGCTGGTTCATGTGATAATTCTATGTTTAACCACTTGAGGAATTGCCAAGCTGTTTTCTGAAGTAGGTTTGCCATTTTACATTCTCATCTGTAGTTTCTGTGGGTTTGTGTCTCTATCTTCACCTGAACTTATTATGGTTGTGAAATGGTACCTCATTATGGTTTTGATTTGCATTTCACCAGTGACTGGTAATGTTTAGCATCTTTTTATATGCTTATTGCATTTGTTTATCTTCTTTGGAGAAATGTCTATTCTGATTTGCCCATTTTTTAATTGGGTTGTCTTTTTATTATTGAGTTATAAGAGTTCTTCATACATTCTAGATACAAGTTTCATGGGTTGCAAATATTATTTCCCATTTTGTGGGTTTTCTTTTCATTTTCTTGATGATATCCAGTGAGATACAAAACATTTTTAATTCTGATGAAGTCCAATTTATATATCTTTTTATTTTGTAACATGTGCTTTTGGTGTCTTATTTAAGAAGGCTTTACTTAAGCCAAAGTCATGAGAATTTACTCCTATATTTTCTTTTGTAATATGCTTGTTCTTGAACTTTATATAAGTGGAATCATATAGTATGCACTCTTTGGCATCTGGCTTCTTTCACTCAACCTAATGTTTATAAGATTCAACCATGTAAATATATGTATCAGCAGTTTGTTTCTTTTTATTACTAAATAGTAGTATTGCAATGAATGACTACATCACAATTTGATCATTTTATTTTCTGGATATTTGATTTGTTTCTGGGTTTGGGCTCTTATAAATAAAACTTCATTTATTTTCTGGATATTTGAATTGCTTCTGGGTTTTGGCTATTATGAATAAAACTTCCATGACCTTGAACTGCAAGTCTTTTTGTGGACATATATTTTCATTTCTCTTGCTGGGTCATATGACATTGTATCTAGCTTTACAAAGAATTGCCAAACAGTTCTTCAGAGTGGTTGAACTATGATATACTCCTGACATCAATATATGAATTATAATTGCTTCCATCCTGAGCAACTCTTGATATGGTCTGTCTTTAGCATTGTGTCCAGTGTGTCCATAGTGTGGTTTAACTTGCATTTCCTGATAACTAAAGATGTTGAACACTCAATTGCTTATTGGACACTTGATTATCTTGTTTTAGAAATTGTCAGTTTAAATATCCTACTCATTTAAAAAACTGTGTTGTTTGCCTTCTTAATTATTGATTTTAAGAGTTCTTCATAAATTCTGGATACTAATCTTTTGTCAGATATATATTTTGAGAATTTTTTTTGTCCATGGCTTACCTTCTTATTTTCTTAATGCTATCTTTCGAAGAACAGAGCATTTTAAGTTGAAGTCCAATTTATTTTTTAATCAATTTTTTCTTTTGTGGTATTTCCTTTTGTCTCATTAACAAATTTTGCCTACTCCAAGGTTGTGAAGACTTTTTCCTGTCTTCAAGGACTTTTATAATTTTAGCTGTTATATTCAGCCCTGTTGTCCATTTTGAGTCATTTTTGTATATTGTGTGAGTTAAGGCAGGAACAATATCTTTTGTTTTTGGTGGTGGTTTTTGTTTTTTTGCTACAGGGACAATATATTTAAATAATGTAATGTCTTTACTGGGACTATTTCATTTGTTAATATTTCTCACAGTTTTTTTATATTTCTATATGTTATTTCAATTTCCTCTAAAGGTGAACTGCTTAACCCTTTTCTCTAACCCACTCATGAAGTCACTGCTTACCCTGAAAGGTGCAATTTGGCAATCTGACCTTTATGACTCTCTAAAAGCCTTTTGTTTAGGCAATTTTTCATCTATACTTCCATTGTATCTCAAACTTACGTTTAGCATAGGCAGTATCTTTATATTCTTTTTAGCTGCATGTCTTCTTATTCTGGTAGTGATGCAGTTTAATTATTTGGCATATAACAAGCATTCAGTGAGTAAGTAAAAGGAAGAACTTACGTTCAGGTTAATTTAGTAAAGTTTGTTTATTCCATTTAGAATTAGGGTTTAGAATTACATGTAAAATTACATATGCACACTAATTTTCTATAAAATATTATGGATTTATTGAAATATCTTTAGGAAAATGTACTTAAAAGTAAAACATCATCATTAATTATGCTTTGCTAATAAAGAATATTTATGGCGATACTTGACCCTTATTTTAGCTGCTTTATAAATCTTTCTGTAATATTTGGGACATTTTATTTAAATTATCGTTGCCATAAAAATGCATTAAATTATCCCATAAATAAGAGTAGTAGTTTTTCAGTTTATATTACTTTATTGACTATGACATATCTGGGATTTGAAGGTTTTTTAATATATGGGTTTTTATTTTATTTCAATTCGGTCAGTATTTAATGCACTTAGCAGTGAGCTAATGCTTTTAGGAATATAAGGATGAGCAAAATATAATTCTGGCTCAAAAAGGGTTATTTCTTTCCGTAATCTGCTAAATAGGGTTTGATCCATATTTCTTTTCTTTATTAGTTTTTAATATGTCATAAATTAGTATTGGGAGCATTTTTTTTACCCTAAGCACATTACTTTCTGAAAGAGTTATTGGAAGTAAATAGTGGCCATGTTAAATACACAAATAGATATTTTAGGACCCTTATTTGAAAGACATATAATTTACATCTTTATAATGATAGAGTCACATTTTTCAAGTCTTTCTTTATAGCCTGTGTGTATGTGAAAGAAATAATGAATTTGATGTAGTGATGAGTTGTAGAATGGATCTCTAAAATGATCTTAACCCATCTTTCTATGGATAAGGAAGAGGCCTGAAACCGGATTTCAAACTCAAAGGCCAGTAGGACCTTATGATTGGAGAGGTCTCAGTTTAACAGTGCAAGCCCAGATAAATAACAGCTGTGCGCTGGCATGAGTTTTTAAGATACAGTAGATAGATAGATAGAGATTGAATGGATAAAGCTCCTGTTCTGCTACACCCTGTTGTTCCTATGGCCAGAATGTGGGCCTGGTTTTGCCCTATCTTTTTGTTTTTCAAGAGAATCCAGAATTGTAAATAAATATAAATGTAGGTGTATATAAATGAATAAGTGAAATCTTCCAATGTTAATATTAGTAATTATTCAGCTTTTATATAAACACTGGATGGGCCAAACAAAACATTTTTTTGTTTTGGGTAGATTAGTTGTGTATGGGTAAAACAAAATGAAAAAAAGAGAAGGAATTTGGTTAATTTGTGTGGCTCTGCCTTACCTTTTTAGCCCCGAACAGGTTGTAAACATGATAGGATTAGTTCTTCCATAGAATTTGTTGTAATTCTTCATAGTACAGTTTTGGTTTTCCTGAAACCCTCCTAACTGCTATTTTTACCAGATTTCTCTTAATTTGAATTTTTGGTAGAGATAAAGGGAAATTATGATGGAACTAATAGCACTAAAATATTTAATGTAATTTACTATTTCAAATTTTGAAATCACTATGCTTAGATGAAGAACATACAGCAGTAATTTTAGATGCCAACCAAATATTGTTGAAATTATGCATATTTTAAAACTATGGCTGAATTACTGTCATGAAGCTGTAAGTATCATCATTATTTCATCTAGTATCACTGTGAGATTAGATGTTGAGCAATTTTTAATTATGTTTTAGATTGTTAGAGACGGATAGTAAGTCTTTAAGATCTGTAAATGGGTCAAGAAGAAACAGTGGCTCCTCCCTTGTATCAAGTTCATCAGCCTCTAGCAACCTCAGCCACCTTGAAGAAGATTCTTGGATACTTTGGGGGAGAATCGTTAATGAATGGGAAGATGTGCGCAAAAAAAAGGAAAAGCAAGTTAAGGTATTCATATTTTTTGTTGAAGTTTTTCCTCTTATCCCAAAGGGCATCAGGCATGAATTAATAGAGAATTAAAAAAAAAAACTAATTCTAGTACTTTTAAAGTACTATAATAAAGAGGTCTCCTTTATATGTTTTATTTACGCTCATAGTTTTGATTTGTAGTATCAGTTATTATAGAGGTTTCCTAATTATAGAACTATGTAACTGAAAATTATTTTAGAAATTAAATTCTGTCATTTTATAGATTCAGAAAAAAAAATTGTGACATCCTATGTCCTTGAATTGTCAGTATTTTACTTTTTTTTTTTTTGCCTGTAACACTTTGTAAGATGATGGCTACTGTGCTGCCATTAACAGCTTTGCAGTGTATGAAGTCCTTAGTACCTTTAAAGACCACATCTCTGAGTGAGATGACAAGAATTTATCTTTAACATTGTAGCCCCCACTTCCCTAGAACAGGATATACCCAAGGGCCAAATCTTTGCTTTAGTTAAAAGGTTCCCTGGTCTTATTATAAAAGTACCTTTGTGAATTATAAATTTGGTAAAGTCTTGCATTCCACCCCAACCCCCAATAAGTCTTCTTTGGCTTTCAAGGTAGGAGACTTAAATAATTCATTTAAAAATATTTACTTTTATTTTTATTTTTAGGAACTTGTTCGTAAAGGGATACCCCATCATTTTAGAGCAATAGTTTGGCAACTTTTATGCAGTGCACAAAGTATGCCAATTAAAGATCAGTATTCAGAACTCCTGAAAATGACTTCGCCTTGTGAAAAATTGATCCGAAGGGACATTGCTAGAACTTATCCAGAACACAATTTTTTTAAGGAAAAAGATAGCCTTGGACAGGAGGTTTTATTTAATGTAATGAAGGTAAGTTCTATTTATTCACTTTTTGAAATGAAATGAATGCTTAGAAGGTCAAATTATACATTTTCCACAATGAAACATGAACTTTCACCCCAATAATCAGTTGCTTTGGCAATAAATTTGGCTTTAGCATAACTTTTGCTTTAATTTTGATGCTACATTACTGTCTAGTTTGGAGAACTTATTGGAAGATTCATCACATTGATGGTATTAGTTAGCCAAAATCAGATAACCTGTAAATCACTGCACATTGAGATAGCCTCTATGAAAATAAATAGTTCACCTTCTGTGAGTTTCCCAGTCTGGGAGCAGATTTTTTCACCTTAGTATGGTCAGCATTGAAAGTGTGTACCATTGTAAATTCTTCTTCAGTATTGCCTTTTCCCTTCACGTAGTTCCTTTCCTTTCGAGCTACCTCTGTGACATATTAATTTCTTGTTAAACCATTTCAATTTTGCAAATGCTTTACCTTAACCTACTCTGGTTTTATCTTTATCAAATATACATTTTAAATGAGCTTTAAACTCTGTTACTTACCAAAGTACAAATTCCTTTATTTTCTTTTCCCTAGAAGCTGTCAATTTCTAATTGGGAAATTGTCAAAAGGATATTTTAAGTAATAAATCATTTGCTTCTTAAATATTTATAGGGCAAAATCTACAACAAGCAAGGAAGAGCTTTTCTAAAATATAAATGGTTTTTCGTTTACCTGTTTTACTATTTTAGGTTTTTAGAAAAGGAAGATATAATATATAATGTTAAAGAATTTTGAACAATATTTTTTACTTTTTAGGCATATTCTTTAGTGGATCGTGAGGTTGGTTACTGTCAAGGAAGTGCTTTTATAGTTGGATTGTTGCTCATGCAGGTAAGTTAGTACGAGTGTTAAATGTTCATTTAAGCTCTTTATTAAAGTTGGATTGGAGAATTTAAAAAGAATCCTTGTTCTTAATAAGTATAAGTGGATATTGGGTATTTTCCTCCAGGGGTAATTTAAATAGGAGTATTTAGTTTGCACTTTAAAAGATTAAAAGTGTTGCAAATAACATACAGTAACATCCTGCCACTGAATGAAGTTTCAACTTCTTGGTGTCTACATTCGGATCATAATATTTACTAAAGCCTGTATCTACTTTTAAATCTGAACTGCCGTGTCAGTTTTTAATGAGGAGTAATCATTTCCCAACCAAGGAGGACATGATTATAGTATTGATATGAAATCTTACTTATGCTGTACAATGTCTTGGGAAATTTATATAAGAATTTTGGTTGTCATGGAGCTGAGTGCTTGTTATAGGTTCTAAAATAGTGGTACTCAGTCATTTTTACTGTCCTAGGGATATAATACATATTTCTATTAGCAATTACTTATTTTGGAGTGTGTTTGGTTGGGATGTTTTCAGAAGTCAGAGACAGGATAATCGTAGCTTCGAAGAGAAATAACATATAATGTTATCTCTTCAGCCTTGTTAAAACATTTTTTAAAGTGCATCGTACTCTATATTTAGTCTCAAACTAAAATATAGTCTGAAAAGAAACCTTGGATATAATCTAATTTGACTCATATAGGCTGATTTTTGCATCTTAATAGAGCTGAGTTCTGTGAACTTGAGCTACATTATTTAACCTCTCTCTCTGAGCCTTAATTAGGTAATACTGTCTGCTTTCAGATTCATTGTGAGGGTGATGTAAGATAATAAATGTAAAAGCCAAGCATAATGTTTGGCAATATAGTAGACATGCAATAAAAGTTTAGTAACTTCCCCAAGATCACATGTCATGGTAGATAAAAGCAGAGTAGGAATTCCTTGTAGGGAATCGGAAGCTGTTTCCCGATACTTTGCTTCAGTTTCTTAAGAGTTCTACCTGAGTTTTAAAGCTTGGGAATATAATGCTTCTTTTCTGAGTGTCAAAAACCTGATATCAGAGACACTGGTTTATGATAAAAATAACAAATTTTTTACCTTTTTTAAATTACATAAGAACTGCTCTCAGTTGTTTTTGCAGGACTTTTGTCCATTTCTAGGTGACATTAGGTTATACATTGAAGAAAAAAAAACTAGATATGTTGATAGCTCTTTTGCAAAATTGTGGTTTTCCTAATTTGTAATTGGTTAGTATCGGTAGGCCTTTTACTATTGAACTCAAACATCCCTAGTATCAGTCCAGTGATTTTTATCATAATTCTATTTCTTTTACTTTTATATTAGCTCCAAAATAACCTTTCAGTACTCATTTCTATTGAGCATCTAAAGAGCAGTTTTTTTCCTACTCCAGGTATGAATCTTAAAACAGCTGAGATAGCTCTTTAGGTAGCCTCAGGGACCATCACACTTTTTCCTCTGAGTGTGCAGGCAATGCTAGTAGCGATACTTTCATCCAGTGACTGATTTACCTAATGCTGTCAGTGGCAGCTAATATATTACCATAATAATAATCATTTAATAGCCCAGAGCCACAAGCTAAAAGTGTGGTATGACCAGATTCAAAAGCTCCTCTCTTTGTTTCTTAAATTCTCTTACCCCTGTGCTATATTGCCTACCACAACTAGTTTAGAAACAGTTTTGGAAATTAGCTTCAATTAGTACATGTTGTGTTAAAATAGTTAAAAGTGCTGGATGTATGTTTTGCATATATCTTAGTATTCCTATAAATTTGGTAGATATTGTCCCCAGTAGACCTTTGCAAAATACATGGATTTTTAAATAAGTCAGTGTCAGAGAAAATATGTAGCAGTCAGTCCCAGTACTCTAAGATTTAATGGTTCAGATTTCTTTCTAATAGAAAGGAATGACTGTAAAACAACTGAGTGATTGTTCTTCACATTTATATTTTACTTGGTGTATACTTTTTCACTTTGTGGACATTGTTTCAATTTTATTGAGAAGGACCCAATGATAATATTTGTTCTATTTGGTCACTTCACCTTATTTTTTAAAATATCACCATTTTTTAAACCTCCTCCAGTTCATCAATGCTATTGTAGAGAGGAGAGGAATGAAACATTTTTTGATATGTTCAGAAGAGAAGAAATTCTTGTAAGACAGAAAAGGGAGATTAATTCATTCTCACCATGACTGACTGAAGTGAGAGGTTGGGGGAGAAATGAGAAGGGGATGTTAATGGTAGGATATGGGGCTGGAGAAGTGGTTAGGGGTTACATCATGTAGAACCTTGTAAGGATTTTGGATTTTTTTTAGGATATAGGAAGCCACTAGTGTGACTTTTTTTTTTGAGCAGTGGAGTGAAATGATCTAAATCATGATTTGAAAGGATCACTCTGGCAGCTCCATGCTGTATGGAGAATAGACTGTTGGAAGGAAGTACAAGGGAGGCAGCAGAGTGACCAGTGAGGAAGCTCTTGTAATTGTCTAGACGATGTGCTACTCTCTTGATGTTTTTTGGACTAAGTATTATGGTGAGAAATGATTGATTCTTGAAATACTTTTCATATAGAGCCAATAGGATTTACTAATAGATTGGACGTGGAGTAAAAGAGAAAGAAGTCAGTGATAACTCGTAAGATTTTTGAGAAGTTGGGGGCAAGGAATGGCAGAGTAGGAAATTAGTGTGATTTGAGATGTGGTTGGACATCTAAATGGAGATGTTAAGTGGCCAGTTGGAAATATGAGATAGGAATTGGGGAAAAAATTCCAGGCTGATAGATAGAAGAGAGAGACTAGAAGCTGTAAAAATGGGTATGGATGCAGGTAGGTTGGTAGATTTGGTAGTGTGAGAATAGAAAAATTCTCTTTTAACTGCTTCCATTAAAAAAAAAAATTGATACTCAGCCATAAGAAGAGGTGAAATATTGCCATTTGCAACAACATGGATGGACCTCGAGATAATCATGCTAAGCGAAATAAGCCAGACAGAAAAAGTTGAAAATCACATGATATCACTTATATGTGGGATATAAACCTAAAAGCAACAAATGAACAGGACAAACAAAGACTCATGGATATAGACTATAGACTAGTGGTTACCAGAGGGTAGGGGGTGGGGAAGAGGGGGGAGGTAGACAGGGTAAAAGGGGTCAAATATGTGGTGACAGAAAGAAATCTAACTATGGGAGGTGAACACACAGTGTAAATAGATAATATGCCTTACTGTTAAAATGTACAGCTGAAACTTATTGGATTTCGTTAACCAGTGTCACTATAAAAATAAATAAATAAATTTTTAAAAAAATCAAGAAATAAGAAAAAATTGAAATAACAAACAAGGTCTTTAGCTTAGAGATGAATGGGGAGGTGGTGTTGGAAGCTTGAGGACATAGAAGAAAGTTTAAAATGGTCTAGAATGAGAGTGATTGAATTAGGGAAATAAAGTATACCAGACAGTATTAAGGATCCACTGAGATTAGTGGTCCTGAATTCAAGTGGGGCCAGCTAACATGGTTACTTTGTTTTGTTTAGTTTTGTTTTTACCTAGCCACTTCCTGCTACCTAAATGTAGCTCTGGTTATCCAAGGGTGGAATTTTGCAGTTGGAATTATAACAGAGAGAGAAAGACAAAGTAATTGTGGATTTAAGTGAGTGAATACATATAACAGCAGAGTAAGCACAGGAGAGAGTTGGAAACAGAAAAGTTAGTGTTGTATAAATGAATGATAGGTCTACAAGGTCAGATCATTATAAATACTTTATGTGTATTAATCTTCATTGCATCCCTGTAAAGTACTTTTATTTTACCCATTTGATAGATGGTGAAACTGAGCAACAGAAAGGTTAAATAGTTTGCTGAAGTTCACATATGTGGTGTGGCTCTAGAGCCTGAACTAGTAACTGCTTGCTAGGGTCATTGGAGCAAAGGAAGTCAAAGAGATAGCAGACTAGGGAATTAATCCACATGAAAATGAATGGGGTTTGTGGGCATGAAACCCAGAGGTTTGTAGGTGCTGCAAAAAAGAGGAGTTAATGCTGTGGAAGTGGCGATGAGATTCAAGGACTCAGACTTATACCTCTCTACCCCCTAGCTTCTTCTAGTGCTGTGGGAGGGAAAACAGTCACCTTAGGAGAGAGCCAGATATCAGAGGAAGAAGATGAAAGAACATTTAGTAAAGAGATTGAGAATATAGTTAGGATCTTTTTTGATGGCAAATTATGAGTTCCTGAAAGTGCCATGGAAAAGGTTTTGGGAAGGTTGGAAGTGGGATTAGATTAGAGGAGCAATGAGAGTTCTAGGATATTGGGATTCTGACTGACTTAAATTAGTGGGGCTGTAGGACTTGATAGGATTAATAAGGACAGTTTCCAAGGCAGAATTGTGGCTGTGTGTGTTGGGAGGAAGGAAAGAAGTACAGGTTTTGCCAAGAGTAACTCTTGACTCCTATCATGGCTATGTCAAGGCCAGGAAAAATGTATTGTTATTAGAAGCAGTCTTTAGTAAGAAGAATGCCTAGAGATCCTTTTAGGTTTTCTCTTTTGAAACACATTGGTATAATGTGAATGAATGAGCATTAGAAAATTTTATTGTTTTGAGAAAGATGACTTACTAATTTAGATAGCTATTTGCTTAAATATGAATATCTATAGCTCTTTACAGAGCTTTTACATTCATTATCTTATTTGATATAATTTTCTGAGTTACACATAAAATGTGAAATTGGTACCTTTAAACTCCAATTATGGATTCTTTGGAAAACTTATTTTACAAGTTCTTTTAACCCTTACACTGTATCATTTCTTCTCAGAACCTTCAAAAGGCTTCCCATCTCACGTCAGGTAAAAGTCCAAGTCCTTACAGTGGCTCCAAAGCCCTATGTGCTTTGGTTCCCTGTTATTTCTCCTCCATAACCTAACCGCTACTTACAACATTACTCCTAATTTAGGCCCCTATTTGCTGTTCCTTGAGCATGCCAATCTTGATTCCATTTCAAGTCCTTTATATTATTCTCCCAGGACTGTTTCCTCAGTTTCTCTTTTACTTTCTTCAGTATTCTGTTCAAATGTTACCTTATTAAGGTACTTTCCCTGACCTACCTATATAAATAGCAGTGTATCTCCCAACATTCCCTGTTACCTTACTTTGTTTTATTTCCATAACACTCATCACCACATGATGTATATTAATTGATTTATTCCATCTATCTTCCCCTACTAGAAAATTCAAACCTCAAGGTAGAGATTGAGTTTATTTTGTTCGGTGGTATATATCCAGAGGGAGAGAAGTATCTGGCTCTAAATGAATATTTGTTGGTTAAATTGATGAATTAGGCAAGTAAGGCAGTATCAGAGATTGTTAGAGTTCTCTGAGTTCTCAATCTCTGTGATAGATATGGAAGATTAGAACCTACTGATTTCTAGTCTGTTGCTCTTCACATTGTATCACATGGCCACCCAGAACAGTGCTTATAGTCTGATGGGTACTTAGTTTAAATATACTTTAGCTTATTTCTATATCATAGAACATTAACCTGTGTTGCTTTTTCCCTTAATGTAGATGCCAGAAGAAGAAGCTTTCTGTGTATTTGTTAAATTAATGCAAGATTATAGACTTCGTGAACTTTTTAAACCAAGTATGGCAGAATTGGGCCTCTGTATGTACCAGTTTGAATGCATGATTCAGGTAAAAATGTAGTGTTAACAAAAAGACATATTGCCTTTATATTTTTTATCATCTCGGTTTTAGTGACAGCTAAGCAGATTTAATGTTAAAGGCATTAAAGCAGTTGGAAAATTAGTGTTTTTATCGCATGATTATTTGTTGGTTGGTTAACATACAACTTAGACCTACTTTTCATTTAGGCACTGTCTGCAGATATCTATACTATCAGTCTGGAATTCGATAGCAGTTTTTATATTCAGACCTGAAGTGTATATGCCACATATGTCATAACCCCATTGCCTAAATGCATGAGTTTGCTCATTATGCTCTATTGTATCCTATTATCGTCATGCAGATTATGCTCTTACAGGAGTCCATGGCATTAGGACACTAACATCAGTTATTTCCTTTGAGACTATCTCTTCTGTCTCTTTCAGTCCTCTCCCCTGTCTTTCTCTTTTTAATCTCACATTTTGCCTACATGTAATCTTTTTAAAAAATGTTTCCATCCTTTTATGTTGCTGATTTAAGACTCAGAGTCTAGTGATTGCTCAAGGGTGAAGAGAAAAGGAGAGGAATCAAAATTAAGTGAAAATTAAGTGGATTTGATTCACATATTTTATGTATAAGTAAGTTTATTGTCCTGTAAAATAATGATATAAATATTCTCATTTACTTAAATGTCAGTTAGATAAGCAGAATTTAAGAATATAGGTTAATGTTTCAACTGACATCAGAGCCATTTTTACAAGTCTCCTTTTTCTTGGCAGCCTTACCCACAGGAATGTTTAAATCTGTGTTTTCTATGTGTGGTGGGAGAAAGGGGATATGCAAATTTTTTTTATATTTTAAAGAAAAAGAGTAAGTGTTAAGATGATTCTTAAAGTTTTTTTCTGAAATAACAAACTTGTTTTTATCAACCTTTAAACTTTCTTGGTTATTTTCAGTTAGTGTCATTTATGTTTTGAATTACTAGAGTTACTGAAGCATATATTTGGATGAGAAGGTAGGAAAGTAAGGATACACTTATCTATCCTTGGTATATCCTTGGTAAGGATACACCTATCAATGGTAGATAGCACCTGAAAGTATTTCAACATAGCATTTCTTTTCTTTGTAAAAAAATTTTTGAAATACTATAATTTATAGAAATTATCTACCCACCAACAAAATTAAACAAATAAAAAAGTTCTACTTACTTTAATATTTTTATTAATAAATCAAAAGTTATAGATACAGCCAAAGTTCTAACTCCACATTTGTTTCCCCTTCTTTCCTTCCCAGATATTAACCACTATCCTGAATGTATTAATTTCTACATCTTAACTTTTCCATATGATGCCTGATCTTGTCTTTGTGTTTGGTATAAGCTGATCTTGTATATATACAGTGACCTGGTTTAAAATCATCAGTTTTACCATATTTTAACTAATTGTTTTCTTTTTTTTCCTTTAGGAGCATCTCCCAGAGCTCTTTGTACATTTTCAATCTCAGAGTTTTCATACCTCAATGTATGCATCATCCTGGTTTCTGACTATCTTTCTTACGACCTTTCCATTACCAATTGCAACAAGAATATTTGATATCTTTATGTCTGAGGTAAGCTAATGGGCAGACTGCGCACGGAACCATTAGGTTAATTAGAGCAGGACAATGAGAACAATAAAGGAGACCCATATGTCCCTTGCTAAATTGTTTACACTGGATAATCTCATTTAAACCTCTAACACCTTACGAGGTACTGTTCGTTTCCCCATTTGATTGATGAGGAAGCCGAGGCAAGTAGCTAGCTTGTCTTAGCACATTAGTGGTATAGTAACCAGGGTTCAAATCTAGGCAATCAAATTCTGGAGCCTACACTCTTAAACTTCTGTATTACCTCCTATTGATTTAGCGAGAATTAGTGAGGTAAAATTTGCTTTATAGTTAATATAAAACTTAATATAATTAAGTTTTTCTATTCCACTAACACATTCCAGGTAGTCCTCTTAATTGTCATTGACATGTATTAGGGATCCTTTGTCTTCTATATTTTGAATGCAAACGTAGGAAGGTAAGAATAGGTGACCAGTGGTAGATACCACCTGCAAGTATTATTAATTGTTATTAATTACATCTTGGGAAGGTTAATTTGTGTTACCTACCTAAATTAGTCTGGAGCCAGCAAACTATGATTTTTGTACTGGTGCTTGCCAAATCAAAGGACCAAACACTAGTCCTTCCACATGTTTTTGTAAATAAAGTTTTCTCAGACCACAGCCATGTCCATTTATTGATGTGTTGTATTTGTCAGTTTGGAGGCTACAATGGTAGAGTTGAGTATTTGTGACTGCAACCACATGGCCCAGCAAGCCTAAAGTATTTTTATCTGACTCTTTACACAAAATGTTAGCCAACATCTAGTTCAGACCCCTAAGTGTTTACCCTATTATTCTTTTGAATAATTAGTTTTTGTTGATTAAGAGTGAGACAAATTTGGCTTTATATAATTTCTTTCCTCAGGGTTTAGAAATAGTGTTTCGAGTAGGATTAGCACTTCTTCAAATGAATCAAGCAGAACTGATACAACTCGACATGGAAGGGATGTTACAGGTAAGTCAGTACATTTCTCGAATGTCTTTATATTTTACTATTAATTAGTTAAAAAATGGCACTAAGTAGTTCTTATGTTTTTCTTTTATTGTTTCTTAGCACTTTCAGAAGGTCATCCCTCATCAGTTTGATGGTGGTCCAGACAAACTAATCCAGGCAGCTTACCAAGTCAAGTATAACTCAAAAAAAATGAAAAAGTAAGTATTTTATATTTTGGTTTTCAGTTATAGGGATTTGTTGAAGCATATAGGAAATTAAATATAAATGCCAAAACATTCTAATAAGTGCAGTTTTCTTCCTCAGTTTATAGAACTGTGCTATTTTATTTGGTAGTAATGGTTTCAATATAACAAATTTAATGTTAGAATTTCATACCGCCCTTATTAGCAGTACATGGAACCATTGTGGATTACCTTTAACACTCCCCCTTCCCATTCCACATTGATTAGAATTAGTTAGGAACCTGGTAAGTTTATACATATATGTGAGTGTGCTATTGTTTTAAAAACCACTTTTATGATGTGGTCTATCTTACTGACATTCTTTTCCTCTCAGTTGCTCGATCCCAGAGTGTCACTTAAATTTAAGATTAACATAACCAGCAAGAAAGGCATGAATTATAGATTAAGAACTTGAATTTTTACTTATTGTGTATTACTTTCTAATGAAACATTTCTTGGTACGTGTGTGTGCTCGCGTGCGTGTGTGCATGCACACACGTATTTCATTAAAGTTCAAGATAAGTATTCTTGGCTTATAAATACCAGTTTTCAAAATATAGTAAAAGTGTTCATTAATAATGACAGCTCTTATTTTTCTAGCTTTTAGTACTTAAATAAATCCTAGCCTGAGGTCATAGTTAGCATTCCTGACACTAGTTTCTATGGTTACAAGATGCTTTAAAATGATAGCTGTACTATATGCTAGTAGTTCTCAATATCTTTGCTGCTGCAACACAAAATTACATTAACACATAGGACATACTCCTATGGATGTTCCAACTCCAGAAAATGTATTAAAATGTGAGTGAGAATTATGTTATTAAAATTAGTTGCCAAAACAAGTAAATTTATGAGCTTCAACTATTACTAATAAATTGCTTGTGAAATTTCTAATAACCAAGCACGTTACACCAGCATGTTGAGACGGAATAGACCAAAAAACTGATCTTTGCTCTGATAAAAATTTTTAAGGAGCCATCTCAGTTTCCACCTCTTGGTAAAACCACATTTAAATCACAGTAGCCAGAAAGAGAATTTACTTTACTTTAGACTAATGGAGAACAAGATAACAGAGTCTCCTTTTAACTCTTGTTTATTACCAGTATAATCCTATTTCTGAAATTTTAGTTATACTACTTATCAAACTCCTTACCCTCTGATTCTTTCATCACTCCCTAGCCTGATGTCTAATAGCCTTCCTCTGGTCTGAATAAGTACACCTCCTCTGATGTTTTGTACCTGTACTCATATAGCCAAGTGTCGGAGAAAATTGCGTAGTTAGTGAGATTGCTGGTAGTAACTTGTGTCTCCACTGCCACCCCATGTATATTTTTATTAACCTTGATTGATTCTCCCATTTCCCACAGTGGTTATTTCAAACTTTACCATTCTTCCCAAGATCATATCCCCGTCATTTTCAAACTCTCTAAACTTTTTTTCATCTTAACAGACAGCCATATTTTTCTTCTTTCCTTTTCTGTTTCTGTTCCTTTATAATGCTAAATCAGAATATAGGATATTTTTCCTGTCTCTTTTAGGTCCTAGCTCCATTAATTGTGTCTTCTGTTTTTTATCTTCAACCCCTCTTTCTATTGCTGATTTTCATCAGCATGTGAAGGCATTTTTGAGTTCTCACTTAAAAGCAACAAAAGCAGAACCTTCCTCAATATAGCATTCCATTTTCCTTTTATGAAGCTTGACTGTGAAGGAAAGAATAGTTTATACTCATTAGCTCCAGATTATATTTCTGCAGCCTTTTATTCAATTGTGACATTTTTTAAACATACAGAAAAATAGAGAGACTAGAATAATAAAGGACTATCCATATGCTTATCATCTAGGTTTAAGAGTTAATATTTTGTCATATTCCCTCCATGTATTTTCTTTCTTAGGTGTTTCAGAGTAAATTGTAGAAATCATGACATTTCAATCCTTAATACCATAGTATTCTTCTCTGTAATATAAAGGCATTTGCCTCCCTTACCACATTGCTTATACCAGTTAACAATAATTACATGATACTGTCTAATAACCCATGTAAGTTCAAATTTCCCCAGTTGTGCCAAAAATGTCTTTTACCGTTAATTATATTTCATTCAGCTATTCGCTTATATTTCTTTTAATTTAGATCAGCACTGCCTACTCCAAATCCTCTTTTAATATACTGACTTGTAGAAGAGATAGTTGAATGGAGAATATCCAGTTTTTAAGGACTTGCTAATCATCTTGATGTCATTTAACTTCTGTGTCCCTTATTTTCTGTAAACGAGGAGCTAAATTGGAAGGTTTAATTAGATTACGCACAAACATTTTTGGCAAGAATATATAATAAATAAATGTGTACTTCATGTTCACCTAAAGAAATGTGTAATGTCTATCTGTCCCACTTTTATTAGCGATGCCATGACTGGCGACTGCATTAAACTAATGACAGATTTTTTTATTATACTCGTTCCCCCTTACGACCATTCAGTAATCTATATTTGATACTTGGGCACTACGAGAATATAGTTCATCATGACCTTTCACCTAATAGCTTTAGCATCCATTTGATAATGATACTTTCCGTGTTTAAATTATTTCATTTGGAATAACAAAATTATAATTTTCTAATAACATTTATTAGCTTTCTTTATTAACACTTTCTTCATTAACTAGAACTAACTTTTCACCTTACTGGAAACAGAAATAAATGCTTCATTATTTCTCTTTAATTACCAGTACCCAGAGAAGAGAGTTAATGGAAGTGGCGCTCTTTTAAATTATTCTTTTTTTTTAAGCCGGGGTATTATTAAGGACTTATGGAATTATATTCAACATGCTTTAAACTGATATAGTCATTATTTTTGTTGTTTAGATACTCTCAGTTTTGGCTGACAGAGCCCTTTTCAGATGGCTTCTATGTCTTCTTAAACATGACTCTTTTGGTCCTTAAACACTTCCTTGTTTTAGGAACAAAAGATGTCCCAGCCTCATTATGCACATTGATTTCTTTTAGTGAGGAATAGTATTTAGAGAACAAAATCAGGTGTGAGGGGTCCTCATTATTATTTAGGGTGTCAAGCTTTAAGGATCTTTCAGTGGACATAGGTAGAAAATATGTATTGGAGAATAAACATGACTTCATAGCAATGTCTCAACTATTTTTTAACCCCTTGTAAACTGATATCTGCCCTTACTCTTACACTAAAACCAGTTTTTTGAAATCTTTTTTTTTTAAATTCATTTAAATAAATATTTTTTGTGTGCACTCAGTACATGCTGACATTGCTCTAAGTGTTAAAAGTAAAATACTGAACCAAATAGACAAAATTCTTAATCTCATGAAACTTATGTTCCTAGTGTGTATGTAAAGAGGCAGAAATTAAAATTACATGTCAGGTGGTGATAAGTACTGTGAAGAAAGACAATTTGTGTAAGGAGGCTAGGGAGTAACAGGTGGGTGCTATTTTTTTTTAAGTACAGTGGTGGGCAAAGGCCTTTCTTAAATGGTGGCATTTAAGTAGAGACCTAATAGAAATAAAAGGCAAGCCATTCAGGTAACTCAGAGAGCTTTCCAGACATGAGGACAAGCAGTGCAAAAGCTTGGCAACAGAGATGTGCTTGGCATATTTGATGAACATCATTGTGGCCAGGATGGTGGGAGTAGAGTGGGCCAAATGGAGAGAGAGAGAGGAAAACGGGATGGAGAGGTAACGAGATTTTATAGCCCTTGAGATAGATTTTTGTTTTTATTTTTAGTAAGAGCAGAGGAAGGACTTAACATTTTAACAGAACCACATTAGCTGCTTTATGGAGAATAGACATTGGAGGAGGTAAGGTCAAGATGTGTTCAGGGAGAGGAGTTAGTGAACTATTGAAATAATTCAGACTAGAGAATAATGAAAGCTTCGCTTAGAGTGGTAGTAGCTGAGATGTTAAGAAATAATTGTTTCCCAGTTGCAAATCAAATAGGTGATTTTTATTTCTAACTATTAACTTTGGATGCAGGTAATCACTTCTCTTCAATTTTTTTTATTTTTAATTAAATTTATTAGGGTAACATTGGTTAATAACATTATATGTCTCAGGTATGCAGCTTTATAAGACATGATCTGTATATTACATTGCATTCTCACCACCCCAAATCTAGTCTCCTTCTGTCACCATAAATTAGAGCCCTTTTTATCCTCCTCTCAATGCCCTTTCCCTTTTGGTAATCACCATACTGTTGTTCATTTGTTGTTCATATGGTTCTCCTTTTCCTTTTCCATTTGACTTATTTCACTTAACATAATACTCTCAAGATCTGTCCATGTTGTTGCAAATGGCAAAATTCCATCATTTTTATAGCCAAGTAGTATTCCATTGTATATATGTACCACACCTTCTTTATCCAGTTGTTCGTCAAAGGACACTTAGATTTTTCTATGTCTTGGCTATTATGAGTAATGCTACAATGAAAATAGGAGTACATGTATCTTTAAGAATAAGTGTTTTCAGTTTACATGTAGATACCCAGAAGAGGGATTGCTGGGTCATATTTTTGTTTTTTTTGAGGAACCTTTATCCTCTTTCCCATAGAGGCTGCACCAGTTACATTCCCATCTGTGGTTTCTCCACATCCTCTCTAACACTTATTATTTCTTGTCTTATTGATAGCAGGTATGAGGTGGTATTTCATTGTGGTTTTGATTTGCATTTCCGTTGTAGCTAGTGAAGTTGAACATCTTTTAATATATCTGTTGGCCATATTTATATCTTCTTGGGAAAAATGTTGAGGTCTTCTGCCCATTTTTAATTAAATTGTTTTGTTTTTTGTTGAGTTGTATGAGTTCTTTAAGTATTTTGGATATTAGCCCCTTATTGGAGATAACATTTGCAAATATCTTTTCTTATTCTGTTGGTTGCCCTTTTGTTTTGTTGATCGTTTCTTTTGCTATGCGGAAGCTTTTTAGATTGATGTAGTCCTATTCATTTATTTTTGCTTTTACTTT